CTGGGAAACCAGTCGATGATGTAAGCTTTCCTGCAGAAGCGTGAGGAGCTTGATGCGCTTTGCAGCCGGGAGTGTAAAGCAGCCTGCACTGAAATCAAGCTCCCAACCAATCCAGGTAATCACAGGGCCCAGCTGAAGTTTTCGCCAAGAAAGCGGAATACCAAAGCAGCAGCAGAATGCTAAAGTGAGAGAAGCGCTCAGTGGCAACACTGTGCTGTTCTGCCAAAGCAATAGATCATCGACATAGAGCATCAAGATATGCGATAGCCAAAGAAGCAGGTGGAGGCTCCTGACGAAAAAGCCGCCTAAGCGGGCAAACCAGTGGGAAGAGAACGTCGCTCCAAACGGGCAGACTCTATAAAAGAAGAGTCTGTCTTGTTGTCGTAGACCCAAGAGGCCTCTGTCCTGCTCACGTATCAAAGCGGTTTTATGAGCACCTTTTACGTCAAGGCTGAAACCGGACACCGGTGACGAATCTTCTCTTGCCGGGAAAGCGGCCTGGATATCCTGCAAGCTGGGAAGAGAAAACTGTTCTGGAACTGTGCAGTTTTGGTTGGTGTTGCAGACACTGTTGTCAAGAACCAAGCGGGAAGCACGGCCTGGAGCTTTAACAATATTCACCTTGCCTACTGCGACGCGCTCTTTGCCCCAACGTTCATAAGCGGCTTCCAAGCTGGGCATCTCTTCGAGGAAACCGGCATCGATTTCCTCTTGTATGAGCTCCTGAAGAAGGCCGGGATCTGATTCTGCGCCTTGCCAGTTTCCCTCACAGACAACAAGATCGTGGCCGGAATCGGGTTCCGATTCCCGTCGGGGCCTGAGGGTGTGGCTGCGGGGTATATCTCCATCAAAGCCAGTAGGAACTCCCTGCTGCAAAGCTGGAAAGAGAGATGTGTCCTTGTCGCCAAGCAAAGTGCTGAGTCTTTCCAGGGCTTTTAAGCAGTAAGGTTGGCCTGGCTTGACCGAAAAATCCCAATCCGAACATGTGGAAGACATATCAGAAAAGCGCTGGAAGGAGGAGCGGAGCCATGCTGTTTCGGACTCAGTGAAAAGCGGGGCCTCTTTCTGCTCGGCCACGTGCTGATGTAACCTGGCCGGGATCTGACGCTCTAACAGCCACTGCTGCCATTCACGCCGTAGGCTCTGAAGCTTGTCTTCGTGATAGCGTGGACCATCTGACCAGTCAGGAAGTGAATAAATGCCTCCGCCGTCCTGGGCAGCGGTAGGTGGTACAGATCTGGGTTTGAGCGGGATGCAAGCCAGAGCAGATTGCAAGGAGCAGGTAGTCGGTGACTTCGGGGTTTGCTGCCTCCCGAAAAGCGGGAGAGTGCATTTGGCAAAGCTTTGTGCCAGAACTGTCGGGTACTCTGCAGTGCGCTGAGAAAGAAAGGCACCCGATGCATCCTGAAGACCTGCCACTGAAGGGTGGCCGTGAGGGTGATCACACGTACCTGCCAACTGCTGCATCTGCTGAAAGCTGCATGCGAAAAGCCAAGATTTTGCAATATCCTGTCCCACAGAGCAAGCTGGTACGTTGACAAGGGAGGCCTGCACTTCCGAAAGCATATCGCGTACAAAGGGTTCAAGCCATGACATCGCATTGGTTGGCTGTTCCAGGGATATGTGTGCCCCTGCTGAAAAAGCGGCCCTGAGAATACATACGCATCGGTACAGCAGCTTCTGACTTGAAATCACCCGCTCCTGTTGCGCCGTGCTGTTGCCCGGGACCCCGTTGAGGTACTCTGGCGTCCTGATGGCTGCCGGGCCACCTGGCCTAAGCTTCAAGCGGGAGTAGTCCCGGCACGGCGGGGAGGCGTGTGCGTAGCGCACCACTCCGGAGAAAGCCAGCCTGAGAAGCGAATCGTATGTCGAATCACAAAGCATGTCCAAAGCTTCAGCAGAAAGTAGGTCAACCTGTAAGCAGTGAATCCCAGCAGGCTTCAGCACGGAGCTTATCGGAGCTGAAGCGCCACAGCACAGGTCGAGAAAAATTTCCATATGTGCTGGGGCATAGGCAGGGTTGGGAGTTGCCGGCTGGGGTTGCACGGCTCCGGCTGACAGCGGGAAGCCGAGTGAGCGCAAGTGTGCTTGCTGCGATGACGGGAAGCTGGCCATATTCCTGCATGTGTAAGCAGTAAGTACCCATCTGTCCCCTTGCCA